CACTAAGAGATGGGGCCTTACCATCAGCCCCACCAAAACTAAGCACCTGCCTGGGTATTTTGTACCATCGGACACTCCACCCCCACAACTCCCAATTGGTGATGGGGCAGTTGTGGAGAGAGTGGAGAGTTTCCCATACCTGGGCAGTGTGCTTATGACCGGCTCCAGTTTAACAGCAGAGGTCTCACTCCGAATCAGTCGAGCGGCAATATCTTTTCATCCGTTGCGTAACGCTGTATGGAAGCTACCTGGTCTGTCGCTCCGCACTAAGCTTCAGGTCTTCTCGGCCACGGTCATTCCCTCCGTTTTCTACGCTTGCGAAACGTGGACTCCCTTAATGGAACATTTTGGCCGGTTAGAAACATTTAGGCTAGCCTTCCTACGATCCATCCTGGGTTTAACCAGGCTGGATTGTGTGAGGAGCTCACAAATCCTTGAAAGATCTGGGCAAGGTCCCATCGGTGAGCTCCTCCGGCAGGCAACGCTGCGTTGGCTGCGTCATGTAGCCCGCATGCCCAGCCACCGCATGCCGAAACAGCTTTTGTTCGGCCGGATCGAGGGGGCCAAACGGGCGCGGCACGGGCTAGAGAAGAGATGGAGTGATGTGGTACAGGAGGACGTGTAGCTGAGTGGACTTGCCGTTGACTGGTACCAGCGGTGTCAAGATCGGCCTCTGTGGAGGAGGCTCGTGAAGGATGCTACTGGGCAGTTGGAGGCAGTCGCCCTCCAACAACAACGGAGGGCGGAGGAGCGACGCTCACAACAACGAGCGGAGCGCCGGGTGGCTAAGGCACAGCAGCTTGGCACAGTAGGGGGCACGGGTGGTGCATCAGCCAGTCATCTCAGTCATCTCAGTCAGTCGACCCGTGGCACCTGGTTCTGCCCCGTGACCTCCTGCCAGCGGGCGTTCGACACTTCACGTGGCCTCAAGGTGCACATGGCCTGGCACAAGCGTCGTGGTGACGTCACCGCCACTTAGTGGCGAATGGCGATTGTTGTTGTTGTCTGTGAGCCCGTGTCTGTCTGTGAGCCCGTGTCTGTCTGTGTGTCCGTGTGTCTGTCTGTGGGTCCTGTCTGTCTGTGTGTCCGTGTCTGTCTGTGGGTCCGTGTGTTTGTCTGTGAGCGCGTGTCTGTGTGTCCGGGTGTCTGTCCGTGAGTCCTGTCTGTCTGTGGATCCGTGTGTCTGTCTGTAAGCCCGTGTCTGTCTGTGAGCCCGTGTCTGTCTGTGTGTCCGCGTGTCTGTCTGTTAGCCCATGTCAGTCTGTGTGGTGCCAACCCTTCTGGATTGGCCGGAAATGTCGACCGGAATTAGCATCGGTCTCTCGGTAACTGTTGAACGCAATCCGGGAATAATTGAATGAGAGGATTTTTTTTTAATTTAAACATATTTTTTATTGACTTAAAACTAAAATTCCCCGCAATAACAGTTTCAGTCAGAGTTGGCAACACACTACTCGGGACTACTTTTTTAGTTGAAAAAAAGAGGGCCCTGCCTCGTTGGAACGTTTTTTGTTGCTGTTGTAAATTCCCCTAAATGAGAGTTTCGCGTGGGAGGGTGGAAGCTGGAGCAGGAGCAGGGGTGTGTGGGGGAAGAGATCGTAAAAAATAAAACCCAGCACGGCACTTGCGCGGGCGAAACAATCGCAGCTCCTCACAGACGCATTCAATAATCCACTTGCTGTGCTGCCAACTCTGGGACGCATCGGTAGCCCGGGGCCTTTGTCACTTACTGACTTACTCCTCCTCCTCCTCGCTCCCTGTGGAGCACAAGGCCTCAACAAGCCCACGCAGTGCCGGACGGTCTTTAGCAGCCTTCTCTGCTGTCCTCCAAGACAGCCCCCCACAAGACAGGGCCCCCGCCACCTCCCCATGGTCTTTAGTTGGTCTTGAACTGTGCCATCGCCAGGTGTCCAACCGTAGTGGGGAGGTCGTCGCTGTGGACTCGGGTTCCATTCTCAGCACGTGTCCCGGGGGCCACCTGAGTGAAACACTCGCAGCTGCTCACAGACGCATTCAATAATCCACTTGCTGTGCTGCCAACTCTGGCACACGTCGGTAGCCCGGGGCCTTTTTGTGTTGAGATACAATCGTGCCCGTTGAATCGTTTGTAAATCTTAGTCCGGTCACGGATGATACAGCATTGAGGCTTTAACCGACTTTTGAGGTGCAAGTGTTGTGAGCGAGCACCTACGAAGGTCTCCACGGCACACAAGGGGTGGCCAGCACCACGCCCGGCCGTCTTTGTTTTCCCCAATGATGTTGACACCGCCATACGGGTACTCATTTAAGGCCGATTCTACAGGTGTGCAGGCACAGACGGTACACAGCGACACAAATACAAAGATCCCCCGTATAGCCTTAACAGACTCTTAGGGCAAGTGCTGTTAGGGAGTAGCACCTATGAAGGCCGGCACGGCTCGCGAAGGGGTGGGTGGCCAACACCACGCCCGGCCGCCTTTGTCTCCCTAGTGGCGATGTTTTTACGCACCGCACCAGGTACTCTTTTGAGGCTGAGTCGACCTAGGGGAGGCCCAGGACTGATTCAGATAATGGTCACTGGTGTTGGTGGCCGTGAACAGAAATCTAACTCGGGTAGACGGGGTCGTAGCGCAGCGCGCTAACCGCCACACCACCGCTCCCCACAGTACACAGCACGAATATAAATACACACATTCTGCATAGTGACTTGGAGTGGAGCGGTGGCGCTGTGGTTAGTGCGCCGTGCCCTATGAACCCGGCTAATACTCGACCGAGTTCGATTCCCGGCCACGGCAGTCGTCAGTGGCGAACGATATCGGAGGAGGTCCATCCACGGCTTTCGCACCTTCACCAAAAGTGGTGAAGTATGTCGAACATCCTGCACGACATGCATCTAGATTATCGTTGCTGCAATCAATTTCCACGCGGAAAGCTACTTCGTTGAACCATCATTTGTGGCGAGGCCGCTTCTAAAAAAAACATAAGTTAAAATAAAACATTGTTTAGTTTTATTTGTATGTTTTATTAAGCGATGTGTTTTTCGAAATAGGTTTTACCCTCTTAACTGGCACAAAAAAACTGACACCTTTATTCAAGGCATCATGTCTGCAATAACCGCAACACAAGCAGTCAAAATGCAAACAAAAAGATAACTCTGATAATAATATGCACTGTCCTTGAATTTGATTGGTCCACACCCGACAGTGCATATTATTATCAGAGTTGTCTTTTTTGTTTGCATTTTGACTGCTTGTGTTGTGGTTATTGCAGACATGATGCCTTGAATAAAGGTGTCAGTTTTTTGTGCTAGTTAAAAGGGTAAAACCTATTCCTATATCTTGTTACTGGCAGAGGAGGTCTCACGATGTGTTTTTGTTTTACCTTTCAAATACTCTGCACTCCCATCGTGTTTTGCATGTTTTTTTGTTAGTGCAACGTTCTGATCCCGTGCCCCTGCTGGAACATCTGTGAAAAAAGAGCTTTATAGCTCATCGGATTCCTCCTGCAATCTAAATACAGATTCTGATTCTGCCTGACCCGACGCGGAGAGGCCTCCTCACCCGTGCGGCAGAGCGACGCAAAGCGATTTTGGCCTGAGCTGCGTTTGCCCTTTGGAGCCGTTATTAATCCCATAACTTGTACTATCAATCGGGACGGGGTTGAATTTCAAACACCGAAAGGAGAATAGCCCCAACCAAAACCTCGCCAACCCACCCCACTTCCCCCTCCCTCCAATCTCGCCCCTCCCCTTAACCCGCCCCTCCCCGTTCCATGACCTCTCCCCCCATCAATCAGTGAGAGAGCCAGCGAGTCGCGACGTCACTGTGCGGGCATGGGTGGGAGTCCCCCCTCCCACCCTCCCCTGGGGGTCACTCACACTAAGCGATGGCGTAGATAGCGCGTGGCTTCGGAAATGAACTCGTTACTGGGCACATGGATTCACCTCCATCATTAACCTCCTCCCGTTATCCTGACACCCCCCCAACCCCCACCACCACCCACAACCCCCACCACCACCCCCCACACCACCACGTGCCAATCGAACTCTTCCCCCGACTCCACAGAACCATTCCCCCGCACCCACCTTCCTCCCCTACCGGCTTCCACACAAGGACCCATTACCCCCCCCCACACACACACACAACCCATCCCACCCGCTGCCGCCCCACGCCCATTCCCCCCCCCCCCCAAACCCAGGCCCCCCTCTCCTCGCCTCCTGGTCCATACCAGCTGCGAGTTGATATTGGATTGGGGAAGGACTGAGTTTAAGAGGGAAGAAGGGAACAGATCTGCCGGCGATAGCCTCCGCGTGCCACGCACTCCGTTTGTCGGGGAGGCGGCCGCACCAACGCATCGCGTCTCGCTCAGTGTCACGCGCGCTCGGTGCTTCAGTGTCACGCGCGCTCGGTGCTTCAGTGTCACGCGCGCTCGGTGCTTCAGTGTCACGCGCGCTCGGTGCTTCAGTGTCACGCGCGCTGCACGCTCGCAGTGTCACGCGCGCTGCACGCTCGCAGTGTCACGATGTCGCAGCGTGGCACTCGCGCTCGCTGCGTTGACGTTTAAAGTTGCGTCTCATTAACCGAGGAGAGAGCAAAGAGAAGAGAAGACGACGAGGAGGAGGAGCAGGAAGAGGAGAGGGTTGGAGAGGTGGAGAAGGGAGGGGAAGGAGGAGCGAGCAGTGAAATCCCACGGGAGGTGAGCGGAGAGGAAGCGAACAGCATCCGTGGAAGTTTGGCATCCTCCTCCTCCTTCACTCTTCCCTAACTCTCCCCACGCTCTCTCATTCACCCCACCTCTCTCTCTCTCTCCTATCGCCACTTATCATCTTCTGCACGATTTCCAGGACTCCTTTTCCCGGCACGATATCTCTCTATCTCTCTCTATCTCTCTCTATCTCTCTCTATCTCTCTCTCTATCTCTCTCTATCTCTCTATCTCTCTCTCTCTATCTCTCACGACGGTGCCTCCTACTCTCCATCCCTCAACGCTCTCCAAAACTCTCTCCATAAATCCTCTCTCTATCTCTGCTTCTCCCCGACTCTCTCTCGTTCCATCCTCCCCAGCATCCTCTCTGACACCCTCTCAATAGCCACACCACTCCACGCCTCAATCTTCTCCACCACTCTCCACTTCGCGTCTCCCTGCATCTCATTGAAGTTATTCCTCGATCAGCCTCTCTCTGATCCCAACCTCTCTCCACTTCCACCGCCCCCCCCCCACCACCACCTTCCAATATCTCCGCATCTCCCACCTCTCGCCTCCACCTCTCATGGATCCATCATCCTCGGAGTCGGATTATGGGGGTGCCGTCACCCCCACCGACTTCCAAAATCTCAACGACACCGCCACCACCACGACCACCGCCGCTGCGGAGTGCGACTACAGCGAGTGGAACGTCACGCCGACGCTCATCCCCATCGTCTACTCGCTGGTGTTCGTGTGTGGCCTCGTGGGCAACGGCCTGGTGGTGTGGACCATCGCGCGGCTCAAGACGCGCAAGCGCAACACGGATCTCTACATCGCCAGCCTCGCCTCCGCCGACCTCGTCTTCGTCCTCACGCTGCCCCTCTGGGCCGCCTACACGGCACTGGGCTACCACTGGCCCTTCGGGGGCTTCCTCTGCACCCTCAGCAGCTGCGTGGTCATGCTCAACATGTACGCGAGCATCTTCTGCCTCACTTGTCTCAGCCTGGACCGCTACGAGGCCGTCGTCTGCTCGCGGCCCGCCGGGAGCCCGCGCGGCAGGAGGACCGCGCTGCGACGCTGCGCGGTCATCTGGCTGAGCGCCCTCGTCGCTTCGCTGCCCTCGATCGTCTTCAGCGGGGTGTCCACCGTGGAACACCCCAACAGCGGCGATGTCAGCCGCAACGAAACGGACTACAGCTACAACAGCGACGGGCAGGAGATGGACGAGTCCTACAGGACGATGGCGATGGCCGACGCCGCGATGATGACGATGGCGATGACGACGACGACGATGACGACGACGACGCTCCAGTGCAGCGCAAGCTTCGCGTCCGTGGCGTCGCCGGACACCGAGCACCTGTGGGCGGCGGGCCTCAGCCTCACCTCCACGGGCCTGGGCTTCGTGCTGCCCGGCTGCGCGCTGCTCTTCTTCTACGCGCGCATCATGGCCAAGATCCAGAGTCACTTCACGCACGTGCGCAGGGAGAGCAGGAAGCGCCGCCGTCTGCTCCGAGTCATCGCCACGCTGGTGGTCACCTTCCTTGCCTGCTGGCTGCCCTACCACCTCCTCAAGACGCTGGACGCCCTCGTGTGGCTCGACTTGCTGCCCATGAGATGCGGCCTCGAGCGCGCGATCTTCGTGGGGCTGCCCTTCGCGCTGTGCTGGGGCTTCGTCAACAGCTGCCTCAACCCCGTCCTCTACGCCTACTTCGACGTCGACTTCAGGGCGCGCTGCGCGAGCGCCCTGGGCTTCGCGTGCCCCCCGCGGACGGGGGGCGAGCCCCCCGCGATGGGGCGCCCGGGGTGCCGAGGACACGAGGAGCCGCCGTCGGGATCGTCCGGGGAGCGCAGCCGCTCGGGGACCGGCTCGGTCTCCACGAGCATCTAGGAACGCGTGGCGGAGGTGTCCACCGTCGACGCCGCCGCCGCCGTCGTCGTGACGCGCGAGGCGTTGCGTCCGTCAAGTCGTCGATGGAGAGACGGGGGGCGGTAGCGCGGAGCGGCTCTGGAGCGAGGAGACCCGAGGGTTCTTCACGGGCAGCCTGGAGACGATCGGCTCCGGGGGGAGGGGCGGGGCCAGGCCAGCGCAGGCGTGCCAAGTGGGCCAGGGCGCCCTCGTGTAAGACTTTCCCGTTCGCACATCCGAGCCGAGCCAGCACGGGTGGTTTTCCACTGGCTATTTGTCGAGCCGAGCCAGAGGCAAACCGTGAAACGTTGGCATCACGGAGGGAGGGGGGGGGGGTGTGCGGGGAAACTTGAATTCGGCTCGTGGCCAAACAAGGGGCTAATAGTGGCGCCTTCGTTGCATTTGACGTCAATCAGTAGAACGCGACGACGTCAGCGGCACGGCTCGACGACTTCTCTGCAGTGGTGGAAACAAAACAAAAAACCAACCCGTGCCGGGCTGTCTCGGCTCGGTTTGTAGGGTGGTCAGCCCACACAATCTCAGCCAAGCTACAAGCGGTGGCCAATCGTTCCGCTGTGGCAGGGCCCTCCTGAACCTGGGGTCTTGAGATTCTGTGACGATTATGTTCCGTGTTAATGGGCTGGTAATGTAATCACATGTTGGTGGGGTTTGTTTCCTTTTGTTTGTTGAGGATGGGAGTATTGATCAACTCCCGGTCATTCGATTTAAGAATCGCTTCTGTGAGGTTTTCTATGAACGTTGCGGTGAATGTAGCGGCCACTCGTGGCTGCAGGGTTTCAGGTTTAGGTTTGGACATTGTCTGCAACATGCACGAATCGAAGAACGTCGATTGGATGCATGCATCGTGAGCTCAGCGATATCAATCGATCAATCGTGTCGTCTTCGTATCGTCAATGTGCATGGGACACAGTGGAATTGTTTTCAGAGTTGAGATCATTCTTGCTCCAGTCCACACCAACAAAGACAAAGGTCCCCCGTGTAGCCTTAACAGACTGTGGGGGCAAGTTCTCTGAGCGAGCACATACGAAGACCGGTACGGCACGCAAGGGGGTGGGTGGCCAGCACCACGCCCGGCCGCCTTTGTCTCCCGAGTGGCGATGTTTACACAAGGGCACCAGGTACTCGTCTGAGCCCGAGTCGACCCAAGACCGGTTCAGATAAATCGCCACTGGCGTTGGCCGTGAGCGGGAATTAAACTCCGGGTTCGCAGCGGCAGCAGCAGCAGCACTAACCGCTACGCCACCGCTCCCTACCCCACACTAATGCCACGCTCGCTGGCACGCCGAGCACCTGGCACGTGCCCCCTTTGCCACACCCTGACTATATATTGCCCGGGGGGGCGATGTTAGTGATGATTGAGGAATCTCGCGAATCGGGGAAGTGGAGCCGTTGTTGAAGGGACGCGACCGCAGCTGATGAGTTTTACATAAAGAATGGGGAAGGTTGCGGTGCAGGCGACAGAACCGACTCGCCCGTGGGAACGCTGAGTGGAGGAGGGGTGGTGGGCTGCTGCTGCTGCTGGTGGTGGCATGGGGGAGCGGTTAGCGCGCTGGCGCTACGGACCTGGCGACCCGGGTTCGATTACCCCGCTCACGGCCAACGTCAGTGACGATTATCCGAAACGGTCCTGGGCCTCCACTAGGTCGACTCAGCCTCAAATGAGTACCTGGTGCGCTGCGTAAACATCGCCACTGGGGGGAAACAAAGGCGGTCGGGCGTGGTGCTGGTCACCCCCTCCCTTCGTGTGCCGTTCACTAACAGCACTTGCCCTAACAGTCTGTTAAGGCTATAGGGGGGTCTTTGTGTTTGCCTTTGGTGATTGTGTGAATGGATTATTCTGTTGGGTCAACCTAAATTAGCACGAACATCGTGCTGATATGACGGCCTTGGCCACGATGTCAACTTGAGTGGACGCCGGCTTAACGGTGGCAGTGCGCTAACCACTGCACCACCGCTACCCCCAAGACAACGATGCCCTCCCCTCCCCCCCCGTGTCGCCTGCACGGACTTCACGGGGCAAGCGCTGCTCGCGAGCTCCGCCGCACCCCAGGCACAGAGACCAGCGTGTGTGAGCGAACGCGGTGGGTCAGTGTCACGCCCGGCCGCCTTTGTCTCCCCCAGTGCCGATGAGTGAAACAGCGCACCGGCTACTCGTGCAAAAGCGGAGTCGACCTCGGGGCGGCGGCCAGCAACCGATTGAGATGTAATAATAATTATTATAATGCGCATTCCATCTGAGGATCCCAATGCGCACCGCTGGAAGCCGTGACCTGGAATTGAACTCAGGTTGTATACATATGTAAACACATCACACATATAGATAGCATAGATTTCCCCATGTGCACGTAAACATGTACGGCCCTTTATAACAATCCACTGCTGGATGAGGGCCTCCCCACACCGTGCGGTTTATTGGGGTTATTTGACCACCAGATTCGTCATTAGGGGGGGGGCGGAGGGGGCCCGCGGCAACCCCCACTGTGCCCCCCCCCAACGCCTTCAAAGTAAACCAGACGAAGTATTACTTCTGACAGCGCGACGTGGAAGCGCTCCCCCCAAAGCACGGGGCCCTGGGCAGTCGCCCCGATTCTCCGTACCATAGGGGCGACTCTGTTGAGCATACTTCACCAATACGGTCAGTCCGGGTCGGTGTGGGTAGGGAGGGGGGGTATACGTGGGAGTATAGACCTACATTAGAGTACAATGGGGTTTTTTTTTTCCGATGGCGCTCTGATTCATATACAACGAAGTCCTATAGCACCTGTCACGCATGCGGGTCACCTCTGCCAACCAACACTCAACTAGCCACGCTTAACAGAGCCGCCACGAGCGAGAGATTGAGCGCGTGCCGAGTGATTTGGTCATTTGCACATCCATTTAATAGACACACAAACCCACGTAGAGTGTTCGTAACGTGTCGTGTGCTACACAATGGTGCATGATGTAAAGTGTTGGCCTTGAATTGGTTAGTGTTGTTGCGTACAGCATGTGTGTTAGTTGTGTATGTTAGCTGTACACGTATATGTCCATACGCATGCACACGTAAATAACATACTCACGCAATACATAATTTATGCAAAGACAGAGATCCCTCGTCCGTATAGGCTTAACAGGCTGTTGGGGCAAGTGCTGTTAATGTATGCACGCACAGACACACGCATACAAATCAAACACCAGAAACAAGAACACTCATCACATTCCTCAACAACACTGCCTTCGGAGCTAATGCATTGATTTAAGTTGCTATGAAGAAGGGACATTTCCCGAAACGTCGCCTGTTATGTATTTCGCCTGACGAATGCATGAATTGTGCTTGTGCACACCTGCCAACGCAGCATCAACTGATGTATCACGATCAGCAGCCATGCTCGCTCCGCTGCCGGACTGCGATGCTTTACACAGTGCACCGGGCACTCGTTTAAAGGCAGAGTCGACCTAGGGGAGGCCCAGGACCGGGACCGCTTCAAATAACCACTGACGCAAGCCCGAGATGGTAATCGATCCCAGACAAAGATCCCCCGTATAGCCTTAACAGACTGTTGGGGCAGGCGCTGTTAGCAAGCACCTTTGAAGGCCGGCACGCCACACGAGAAGGTGGGTGACCAGCACCACGCCCGACCGCCTTTGTCTCTCCAGTGGCGATGTTTGCACACCGCGCCAGGTACTCATTTTAGGCTGAGTCGACCCAAGGGAGACCCATGCCCGGTTCACATAATCGCCACCGGTGTTGGCCGTGAGTGGGAACCGAACTCGCCTCGCCAGGTTCGTAGCGCAGCGTAGCGCTAACCACTACATCCCCTCCCACACACACTGTGTACACAGACACACCACACACGTCACACATACAAACTCAGTAAACTATAAACCCATATTTACTCCGCAGACAAAATGCATCGTGTATTCTAAAACTGTGTGGCTTTTACGATTCGTTTGACACGCGCACAAAAACAAAGTTTCAAATAAAATAATAATTCTTACCAAAAGAATGTAAATGCGTGCGATGTTTCACGAGGCACGAGGATTTACGAGCCGCGGACGTTCTGGGTTTAGGGTTTCACTCCGGGTGCAGGCCAACAGGAAGACGCGTGAGGGCCTCCGCTCGGAGTTAATGACCCGGGGAGGTTGTGGAATGAATGGCATCGCGATGAGGAATGAATGGAGTTAAGTTGATGAATGAGTCGCTTTCTCTAAGGCGTAACTGTAACATCGTGCAGGCCATTAAATATGATAACCATTGTGCTATGACCCTTAACCCTAACATTATGATACCGTGACCCGAACATCAACATTAGCTTAAGCTAAGACCCTAACTGCTTAAACCATGGTGCTAATAACGTTTACTGCAGCCTTGCAACCCTTTGGTTCTCAAAAGTAAAACTAAAGTATAATGTTAACAAATACATAGGGTTTGATGAAACAAAGTAGTAGTTGTGACATACGTGCCCGTGTTTCGTTTGTGTTTCTATGATTTACCTTATACAAAGATCTGGCCGTGTCTCGCACCCCCAGACAGGGCATCTCGCACCCCAGAAGCACTGCCTAAAACCATGATTCTAACACTAACATTGCATGCATGTTGGACTTCTTTCGCACCGTACGTAGCCAACCGTGCTAATCGGAGGTGCGTGAAACACTGGCTCTAACAAATGGTTCTAACACTGACACATCGTCAAAACAGCAGCGTGGCAACGTTCCATTTACCGAGGTGCCCGAATAGAACTTTCGGACTAATTTTGCCGGCTACGAATGAGCCGACACACGAAGGACACCTTCATCACCATCAGAGGCTCCCCCCGTGCGTGGCATTAGCCAGGGTGAAATTATGCCCCCCCCTCCCCCCCCAATGGAGGACCCGATTAGTGCGGCGAAGATGCTTGTAGCAGTGATCGGTTTGTGGGTCGCCTCCACGACCTTACCAAGGATTCACGTGGCGCAGGGATGTGTTGAATTAAGTCAAGGTGCCGTGGGTTAGGCTATGTTCTCTTGTTGGCACAGGTACAAAACAACCCATTGGGTGATTATTGGACGTGCTCATTACCGATGGGGACCTGGTTACACCCTAGGAATCTTGGTTAATACGGCAACAAACACCCGCTAACAAAGCGATCCTCTTAACAACCGGTACACGGCCACGTTCCGACTGGCAAGGGCGCGTAACGACATGATACAAGATTTGTTTTATGACTATTTTATTGTTTTACAAAGAAAAACCACACTGAGCCATATGGAGCTCTTTTTTTTAGAAGCGACCTGGCTATCACAAAAGATAGCTCAACGAAGTGGCTCATTATCGCG